GACACCGGGGATGACGTTAACTTGATATGTTCTTGACGAACATTTAAAAGGTGTCCGCAACGAGGTCGAATGTTGTCAAGGGTGCTGATGGTTTGTGAGGAGAACGAAACATATCGAGTGAAGGATCAGAGAAACCCCCAATAGCATGTATAACGTATATGTACAGTATATATTATGTTCACCATACTGTATTACTGTTATCATAAGATTTTATAGTGTTTTTATTTCCAATACAAATTAAAAATTAATAGACTTCGCTATAGACGTAGGAAGCTATCGTTATGAGGGCCGGTGTCAGTACCTGTGGCTTTTGAAGCTCGTTCTTCCCAGATTGGTAGGGGGGAAAAGAGTAAGTCTCTGGCGGAAAGTTTCTGTCTGCTGCCTTGAAAGTATTTGACTGCAATACCCGTTTATTCTGACAGGCGACCAGGCTACTGATAATGGCTACTGAGATTAGTTTGCCTACTACAGAACACAAAAGATTTCCAAAAGGACTATCGTACACCCAGTCTTTACACAACGGTGATCGTAAGACATTTCCTTCCTGCTATAAACCCGCCACGATCCCCGTCGGCCCACGCGCCGAGTCAAATCGACAATAGATGTTGCGGATTCCAGGATGAATTGAACGATAATTATAAGTGAGAGGCCATTATATCGCCCGGACACATCTCGCTGAATGCGTGTTTACAAGATGTACATGGGCAAACAATGGGAATGTAACCGACAGTGTCCAGCTATCACCATCAAACGGGGCACTCTACTTAATGATTGCCTTACAAAATACTTCAAAATGTAACAAACATTTCAGATTTGTAGACTTATTTTATAAAGCTCAAGAAAACATTCCATATTTATGTAAATATGTACATCACAAATCTGTTCATACATATTTTATCATCTGCCAATATCCAACTTATACATGATTCGTGCTTATTCATAAAACAGTCACTTGGACTGAGGAGTGTGGGTCTGGCTTCTTAGTTTCTTTGAATGCTTGTTGTGTTGTTATTTGCTTTCAATTAAAGTTACTATGTAACTATAAATGAGCAATGAAATTATGAAATTAAAATTGTTGCATAATAATTATTTAGCTACACTTTCATTACTAATTGTACATAACGACATAAGACAGCTCGGCTCTGAACAGGATCAGATACGTTTTACAGTAGTATTCATCTCCTTCTTAAGTAAATATTACATGTAAACTTTGGGTCCATAAAAATATGAGAGATTCAGAGTGAAACACATTTGTGTAATTTCCGAATTTAACATGGAACGCACAAATGGGGATCCTGGGGGTAACAACTATCTACACTATTTCATTACAGCCGGTGAATCACCCGATTTCATGTCTACCGTACGCGTACTGTTAGATACTCGTGACGGTCGTACTGCGCTCAGGGCTTGTAACTAATAGAGGACAAATCATCTATATGATCTGTAATCCGAGGATTCCGAACGATCATATTGTCATTCAAATAAACCCGAACCCAACTGTTCCGAATGATCTTATTTGACATTCAAGTAGACCATACTGCGAAAATCGAAATCCCAACTATTCCGAAAGATAATATTTGACATTCAAAAAAGCATACCATAATATCAAAACTTCCTACTATTCCGAACGGTAGTAGTTAACATTGAAGTCCATATTACGTAAATGTCTATCCGATTCCTGCGATGGTACATCGTGTATGTCCCATCTATCCGAGTTAAAGACACATTTCATCAAAAAAAGTGTTAACTCACACCCCTACATACCTAAACTGGACTTGCCCAGTCTTTGAAATGTGACTTTAGGAGCTGAAATGGGTAAAATATGCAAAACACGGTAACACTGTGTCGCTGAAATCGACGCACAACGGAGGACGGGTAGACAAATGATCTTAGTCACGTCGAGGACAGATAAAAGAAGGCGACAAATTCATCACGCACCTAATCGTCACGTTAACACGTGTAAATACATAATGATGTGCGAGGCTGCAGGTAGGCTACTAATTTACTGGTTACGCCACTGGTGACGGCTGACAGGTAAACAAACCATGTCGGTGTCGCGGAGACTGTTCCCACACTTAGGTGAGGTCTGGTTAGCTTGCAGTGTTACTGTGTTACTGTTATCTATGTAGATATTTACAATCAATCATCCCGTACCACTGCCAAGAACTGTACCTATTCATTAGAATCCGCCCCTCCTCCCTCCCTTCCCTTTCATGCATATGACCTATAGCTTGCCTTCACTGAATCACTCCTCAAAAGAAACGCGTAACAACAACAAAACATCAACAATGTTCTATAGTATGGGGCAGAAGCGTAAAAAATCAACAGAACAGAGACTGGGATTTGAACTCTGAACCTCCGAACCGGCGACTCATCTAGACATGCTCCGCTACAGTCATATCCCACACAAACTAAGGGGAGATCAGCGAAGATAAGAACAGATACATTGTAATTCTCTAACGTTGGGACGATGATCCTTACAATCCATACATACAAATCACCTCCCCCTATACACCTACGTTCAAATTCAAATTCTTTTATTACATTGAGTTTTACAGCTCATCTGTATAACATACACATACACATACTACAAAATATCAACATGATGTGGGGGACACTGTACATAGTGCAGTAGAGCATGGACATCAGTTCACTTTACATTTATGATTTTCTCAAATTGGTAACATCGCATCTATATTTGCTTATCCAATGACGCCTCGGTTTTTCTTTGATCTTTTCTTGACGATATATTGCATATCGTGTGATATTTCAGGTATCACATACAAATGTATGTGCTATCTGAAATATCACATGGCTTTTCTGATTGGTCCATGCCACAGTCTGGAGGCGGTGCTCATTTTAAAGTTGGCGTGACAAATCAACAAAAGACACGATAAACATTGCAAACAAATTTAATTAAATTTAGACACCGTAAGTGTAAAAAAACAAAGTATTTCTCTATCAAGCACCAATAAAGTGTTGGTATTATAATTTTTCACGGACTCGTGTGATATGTCCGATACATCACTCGTGCACATTATGTATCTATTACTTAACACATTTACGTTAGATATCTGACTGTACGCGTTCATCTCTGTATTATATATAGGCCCGAGTATTATATATAGGCCCGAGTATTATATATAGGCCCGTGTATTATATATAGGCCCGAGTATTATATATAGGCCCGTGTATTATATATAGGCCCGTGTATTATATAAAGGCCCGAGTATTATATATAGGCCCGAGTATTATATATAGGCCCGAGTATTATATATAGGCCCGTGTATTATATATAGGCCCGTGTATTATATATAGGCCCGTGTATTATATATAGGCCCGTGTATTATATATAGGCCCGTGTATTATATATAGGCCCGTGTATTATATATAGGCCCGTGTATTATATATAGGCCCGTGTATTATATATAGGCCCGTGTATTATATATAGGCCCGTGTATTATATATAGGCCCGTGTATTATATATAGGCCCGTGTATTATATATAGGCCCGTGTATTATATATAGGCCCGAGTATACATGTAAATTAACTATACAGGGTGTTCAACATGCCCAGTATTCGGAAGTCCCGATGGTCCGAATACCCAGAAATCCTGATGCCCAGTATTCTCTAGGACCGATTGTCCGAATACCCAGTAGCCCGAATGCTGGTCCGTAAGACCAAAGGCTCAAGATAACAAAGGAAATGTTGAACCTGCGCTTTCTTTAATACGCTATATCACTCAAAATCGTTAAAATCTATATCACTGACACATTAAATGACTTGAGTACGTGTTAACCTTATTGAAATGTAGATGTAACTGTAAGACTTCTTCAGACTTTTGAGTCCTCGGAGTATCGAGTCATCAGACTACAGGGCCTACACTATCAAAAATTTTACTAGGATTCCGGACAATCGTGTTTTCGGACTAGTGTGTAATTGGAATATTGGACCATCAACATACTGAGTGGACGCTGCTTTCGATGTTGAGACAAGACTATCTTACTTGGGGGAAAAGCACCATCAAAAATGATCCGATTACTTTTTTTTTTATAAAACCACATACACGGTAGGGCTGCAACGATATATTATCGTATCGTATCACGATACTTTCTTGTGTACCGTATCGAATTGTGTGATTGCCTGTATCGCGATACTATAACAGTACTCAAATTATCAATCCATTTTCTATCAAACTCTAAAAAGTGTACTTATATTTATTGAATCCTTCAGTAAAGCTGTTGTCCACTGTGCAGTCAACATATTTCGATAGTATTTACTATTGAAGTCTATGACAAAACTCAATAAAATCCTGCACTCAATCATGATGAAGTTGACCTTTTCAGCAGAAATTTGTATCGTAATACGTATCGTATCGTAAGCGTCGTACCGCGATATGTATCGTATCGTGAAGTATGCGTATCGTTATTCACGACTTCTGGTATATTTTTGCATGGTAATGGCTGCAGAGCTTCTGTAATGAATTCGGGAAAAACTGGTAATTTTACAGTGTTTTTTTTTATTTTTTCACTTCAACCAGACAAACCGCCGTAGTAACACTAACACTGTTCACTGAGTCTGTCAATTATGTCTCTATTATTTCTGTTTGACGGTTCATAAACACATTAGACACTTCACAATCTCCTGGAGCAATACTGACAGAAGTATTCCTGTGATTACAAATACAAATACATGTATCTGAAGCAGTCGTTTTACCATCAAGTCTCGTTTATCCGGAATCCGTTTATCCGGAAATTATTCGCCATATTGAAATTTATAATTTAGTAACCAAGGTGCATTTTCCTGATCCGGACATCCGAATATCCGCTAATCCGGAAATCGGAACCAAATTGATCGGGACTGGAAAGGTTACAATTTACACATATTCGAATTGTTTAACTGTTACTGGTATTTCTTGTTCAGTTAAATACAAAACAAAATTGGAAAAAAAATAAAACTGGTGACAGGCATGCATTATTTGATCGATTAGTTTTGCCTACCTGTGCCCTCTGCACGCAGCACTGCCATCGCAGTCAGGAGTAATCCCAATTTCACATCCATCCTGTACGAATGCTGCTTTGGTTTTTAAATTCACAATCAATTGGATCAAAGTATATGGTGTTCTTTAATTCCACAAATTCCAATAACTCAATTGTTTAATTTCCAACTGAACACTGTATTTGTCACGTGTATTGTTAGGTTGTTAGACGAATTAAATGTATCACAAATTGATGTTAATTCAATACTTGTATATTGTTTGAAGAACTATGTGGGCAGATGATATACCGACACAGAGCAAACACGACCCGCCGAGTCAAACGATCGTCTGCTACTGAGCTTTAAACGCGCGGGCAAGTCGATACTCTTCCCGCCAGGTGGCGCAAGTGAAGCGAAACAGGTGTATACTGTCCACAACGTTGTCTGAGCGCTAACACTGTCAGCTTTGGTATTTAACATTTAAAGTAAAATAACACTGTCAATCTTCTTAAAAATGGACAACTAACTGAATAAAGAATCGTATTATCTAAATTGGTATACAGTTTTGAGGAACTTGAACGCAGCGAACCGCATAGGATATGGCGCAGATATGGATCTCGTTGTGTCGTGACTCGGGGCGACCTATGGTAGGCGGTCCTCCTCGTTATAGAACTACAGATGGCACTGAAGAGGCTTCAATAATTAATAAGTAATCAAGGAAAAATGGGAAAAAAGTGTTAAAATAATTAGGTAGAAATCGGTTTACAGCGATACATTTCTAATAAGTCTGGTACTTTTTAAGGGAATGACTTATAGATTCCGACCTGCGTCTTTACACCGAACTACTTGTCGCTAAGTAAATGAGCCAAATTAAAAGTAACGCAGAGCTCGTTAATTTTTCTTGTTTATATTGCTTGTGATGCTACCGAGGGTGTTAAGTTAATTACTGTAATTTTAGTGCTGTGTAAAAGTACATATTGTAGTTTAACATTGACATTAAACTCATACATAACAGTTCACACACACTCCGCCACAGCGCTGACAGATAGGGGGCTAGTTGAGAGACAGAAAGGCAGACGAGCAGATAGCATGAGTGATAGACAGACAGACATATGGAAAGAGACAGAGAGACAGAGAGAATAAGAGATAGACAGACACATATGGAAAGAGAGAGCCAGAGAGAATGAGAGAAAGACAGACAGACATACGAAAAGAGCGGGAGAGGGAGACAGAGAAAGAGAGAGAGACAGAGACAGAGATGGATAAAAGAAACGAAATGGCAGGCATAATGACAGGGACAGAGAAAAGGACAGAATATATTTGCAGTCGTTTAAGTTACACCAATACAAATATAGATTAGAGAAGAATGGCGAAGAGAGGTAGACACTGAGACTTAGAGAAAATAGTAACATTGAAAGACATGTTCATCATTGGGTAAACAAACAGAAACGATATACACGCAAGGAATGAGAAAGATCTAGAGAGACGGAAGAAACACCGACTGAGGAACACAGAATAGAACACAGGAAGAGAGAACGACATGCATGGGACGAGAAAAAGAGGAAACACATAATAGGAAATACAAAGGAAAGAACAAAAGAGAAGGACACGTAAGGAATGAGAAAACAGAGACACGAGGCACGTGCTGAGAAATACAGAAAACGCTGAGGATTAAACGTAGGAAATAAAGAACAGAGAAAGATAAATAAGTAATGAGGAAAAGATGACACTGATGAAACATAGAGGGAGGTATACATGAACGACGCCCATACATTGTAAACAGAGAAAAACCAGAGACATAGAGCCTGGGGAACCAAATAATCAAGACGAAGAGCGAAATAAGCTGGCGCGGTCCAAGGGAGGTAATCGTAAAGCTATAAATGAGCAAATCTGTAGTAGAATTTAATCCGATATGCTTTCATTTAAACCGCTTATAATATAGAATAGAAAAGTCTAGAATTACAATTTAATAATGAATTTTAGCGAATATCATTACCACTTATATAATTTAGGAGATACCGCTTGAACTTAAACGAAATAACCATATGAAAAACATATTTAAATATGTTAAGGGGAAAATGATGTCTAATGTTAACTCAAATATACGCTTCAACATGACACACTGCTCAAAATATACAAATGTTCAGTATTGTCAGTTCTAGAATACGCATGTGGGGTGTGGGACAGCTAAACTAGACCAACGTGAAGCCATCCGTATGCTCACAGGATTGTCAGCGTTTGACTACAATAACTGTTTATTTCTGACAGGAGGAAGAAACAATAACGTTATCTCTTATACCTTAGAGTGAGATACAGCTGAACTCTAGAATTTCCAAATTCTATCCTACCGCGTACTGTTGGTCAAAACATTATATATCCATCGTAAAACCGATTTGACATTTTTGTTAATATCAGTCAGAACGTCCCCTATATAAACTTTAAAAAAAAGTCCTCCCTTTTGATCGCTATCATGCATACTAAACTTGGCCATAAATGCAGTACTTTTGAAATGTTATTTATTTTGGGCATTCTTAAAATTTCTAGGATGATGCTATCTTAGTTCTCTGCACAGAACGCAAGTGACCGACGTCACGGAGAAAGCCCCCTGTGATTATCACTTCATTTTCAACTGTACATGTACAAACTTAACTCATCAGGGGAAACAATATCTGAAGGTTTAAACGCACGAGATGATATCATTTACTCTACCCTTCGATTGCTACTTTTCGTCATCGTTATCCATAGGCTTAAACTTGGCAATAGCTAATGAGTTGCAATTTTCCATGATACCCAGCAATGGATATGACTAATAAACTTGAAGTTGGGATTTTTTACCGCTAAGCACAATGACAACAACCTTAAAACAAGACTTGATTAGCTTTGTGTCTTCCCCTGGGGTATCACGTTTTCCCCTGGGGAGGGGGTAAACTTTACTATAGTTTATATAGGGAAATCACATTTTGGACCAACATTTGTTTAATTTCCATTGGAAGTAATTCAATTTAGGTTAGCATTATCAGTATTAGGTAGCAGTTTGATAGTATGTACCTATGAGCCCTGGCTGACCCCCAGGGGCTGATGGGTGGGGCCAAAAAGGGTTGAATTGACTGAAATTTCAAAAATCTTCTTCTCAAGACCCAGATATGGTAGAATCAAATACTCTTCATAGATGGAAGGGTCTTAAGGTGCTTTACCGAAATTGTGAATTTCTTGACCCTGGGGTCTC